GAATGATTCTACTTGACAGCATCTGTTTCTCCTTAATACATAGCTATTAAATATTTTCCCCTGAGTAACTCTTATCTTACAAAAATACGAATTTTGGTCATGAGAGTTAAGTTCATTCATCCATTCTGCAGAGTTCTTTTCTGTGTGCTTTTGAAAATTATGTATATGTCCAGATGCATTCCGCACAGTTGCGCACATCTGAGGTTAGGATTAGTGCTGTGTTTGGAATGGGGACAAGAGATGTTTGTGGAGGATATGAGGAAGATCTGAACTGAGATGATAGAAGCTGTTAGCTGTATCTCTGGACTTCGTTTATACCCTTTTGCTTTAGGGTACTCACCACTCCTCTGCAACTCAGGCAGGGATGATAATGTCTTGGAGAATGCAAGGTTTTTATTCTCTTTGTGTGTCTCTTGCAGCGTCCTGTGTCTGCACAGTCGCAAACAGCAAACACCAGATTGGTAAGTACCCTTCAGCTCCCTTCACCAATATACGGGATGCAATTTCAAATGTTACCTTGTACAACACTTTTGGTGCAATTGGCCCCAAAATGTATTTTGCAGCTAAGTAGCGTGGTGGAGGCGGGGAAGACAATAAGAAAAGAGGAGATGGATAGGTACTGGCATACATTTCTGTATGGCAAGAGCAAAGGTTGGAAAAACTTTTACATCAGTTCTAGCAGCTTAAAAAAAGAGTAGGTGAGGTGTGCTGAGAGTCAAGGTCAGCTGAGTCAAATCCCTCAAAGGATTTTAAGCCTACAAGTATTTCTGAACTGCATTTTTAAAGAAATTGGATATAGATGTTTAAAGAGAAAGTTGTCGCTCTGGTCATCAAATGATGAAAACAGTGACAGCACAGTGTTCTGGATTTGGTAGGTCATTGAAAAGGAAAGTGCAAAACCAGAGGAAGAGCTGGTGAAAGCAGCAGCAAATAGGAGTGTCACACCAAAAGGGAGGAGGAGGAGGAATTTCTGTCTTGTGTACTGCAGGGGATGGGATAAGTCTGAATGAAAAGGATAGCACAGGTGAGGCTGTATTGACAAAATTCGGGTGGCCCCATAAGAGAAGTAATTATTTTCTGTGAGATAGTAATCTGAAGGAAACTGCAATAATTTGAGAGTGAACTGGGTCAAAATAGATACAGAGATAAGAAAGATTTCTTAAAGATAATAAAAAAAATGTAGAACTATGATTAGCGTAAGTCAGACTGATCCACCTTTCTAAATGTCATATTTGGCACCCTCCTTACAAGCCATATGGTCAAATCAATGTTAGTTTACAATCCTAAGCACCTGGCTCTGTGGGGTCACAGTAGGCATTATTTTGCTGCTGGGCTTCATGCATGAACGTAATAGTGATGATTCTCATTTTTTTTGAGGTTTCCCAGCAGGAAGGAAGGTAGGACAGATGGAATCATCTTGAGAACCTAATTCATTTTATGCACTGCCGTTTATGTCATTCTGTGTAAGTTTAGCTGAGAAAAGACTCTTATTGAATAATGAAGTTTTGTAGAGAATAGGAAGGATCTTTGTGCCAACTGCTGTCGTGCTTAGTATAATTATGTGGGAACCAGAGATGATTGCAGAATTTGGAGATAAAATGAAGTGGTTGGATTTATCTCTACTTTTAAAGATAAGCTGGGTCAAAGAGGAAGCAAGGTCTCTGTAAAGTCGGAGACAGTTCTGTGCTACAACCAGAGAGAATTCTGCAGTGAAACACTGAAAAAAGTGTTTGTGCAGGAAGTTCAGTAAAGTTATTAGAGTTTTTCCCTAGCATTTTGACAGTAGTGTAGTTTGTTCTCGGGTAGGAGCCAGAGCTTCGCTAGTTGTAGGAGCCAGAGCTGCCAATATGTAGGCATACATTTTCTGTTTGTAATCAATTGAAGTATTCATTGAGGTATTTCCTTAGTAAAGGAGATCATCTGATAGGATGAAAAATTTCCTGTAATATTCTCTTTGAGCGGCAGTTCTCACATGATGATTGTTATGGTAGTGTCAGGAAATGGTTTTAAAGAGGAGGTTATCTAGCAGGAGATTTTAGAGGAAGTTATTAAGCAAAGTTGTTGAGCTGTGCTTTTGAAATGGAGGAAAGCTTAAGAAGAAAGACTAAAAGCCTTCCAGCTTAATGCCATCTACAGCGTCAAGCAAACCTGTTTGACTACTGATGTTTTTATTTCTTCTGCAAATGCTTGTGTCTCCTACCTTCTCATCCAGATGTCTCATTTTTCTCTTGTTTTATTTAATCAGTTTTCATTAGGCTTAACAAAATGTTTAAGCTGGTACCTGCTGTGTCTGTTTTCTCTTTGGATCTTTCTGTGCCAGTCACTGCAGTGTAACCCATTCTAGTGCAATGCCTGTTGCTTTTGCAATTGCTTTGCCTGCAGATTCTGAACAGCCGCTTGCAGAGAGAATGGTATTCAATTCCAAGAGTCCTTACAAATAAAGATACAACCTGATCTTGCCATGAGTTTTATTTGTATCTGAGCAGTATGGGGTATTCCTCTGGGCTTATCCAGCTTAAGGTTTCTGTCATGTTTTTATCTTCTTTCTAGATTAAGAAGGCTCTCTGCATTCTTTGCTCAGTATAGTGCTAAAAGAAAATTTGAATTTTGTATAAAGGCATGAGATCCTCTCAGCTAGATTATTTTAACAGAGGTAGTTTATCTGAACTGGGCTTAAGACCAGCTAAAATGTACTTGAGAACATGGTCGCAGATTTTAGTCTTGCTGGGATTTTAAGATTTTATAATCCTGCTAATTTGAAGACATTTTGAATTCCTGTCCTTTGTTAAAATTGATCAGAACTGCCCATCAGGTTATGAATGAGCTTGGAGAGACTGTCTGCAAATTATTTCTTTTCTTTTTTTTAAAAAAAATGCATATGTATGTAAATTTGCATGATATATCTACATACATATACAAGATCTGTCTGCTAAGTGTGAGAAGTAGCAAGCTGAGATCCAGCAGTATACTAACTAAAGAAATAACTGATTGTGAACTGAGTTTTTTACTTTTTTCCTGCAACTTTATCTCATCAGTGAATTACAGTTCTGTTCTTCTAGTCTAGCAACACAACTGGAACAGAATCATGGTTCTGGTACCACTGAGATGTGGGTCCAAGTGTATTTGGGGCCTATGAGTGTGAATGCTGGCTCTAGTGCCTCTTGGGTAAGGATTTTTCTGTATGAAATCCTGGCTTTGCTGCTGCTGGGTATGTCTCATGTTTTTCCGGAAGGGGCCAGGGGTGTAAATACTGGCACTGATGACTGAATTGTGAATCCTGCTGTGCTAAAACTAGGAATGTGAATACTCACACTTAGTGCCTGATGGGGTGTAGACTCTGCGACAGCTGGAGTGTGGAATTGTGCATTCTGGCTGTAGTACTCTGGAGTGTAGATTCTGCTGGGAATGGGGTCCTGGAATTTGAATATAACTTTTTTTTTTTTTAAAAAAAAAAAAAATTAAGTTGAGAGAGAAAAAGGGAAAAATCTGGATTCACACTGTCCCTACAGCGTACCCGTCCTCTGTCTGCCAGTGATGCTGAAATTAAAAACCCGATGCCCTCAGGCAGGGAAAAAGCAACAGGAAGGCAAGGCAGCTCTGTGCTAGGCCTCTCCATGGAGGAGGTAAGTAGGCTATTAAATATTTTTTATTTACCTTGGCTTTCATGCAATATGTGAGGTTATTTGCTCAGCAAAGAGCAAGTGCATCTATATGAAAAACATGACAGAAGAAGTATAACTTTTGAAACAAAACTGCTGAGTTTTACTGCTGGTACTGCCCTCAGTCATGCCAGGCATACATATGTGCTCCAAGCAGTGATAGACTCCTTCAGAATTTAAATGCAAGATAAAATTGCTTAAGGATATCATATAGACCCAGCTCACTCTCAGGACTGTAGTTATAGTCTTGTCCTCTGAAATGCAGAGATTTTTCTAGGGTTCATTTTTCATTGTATCTATTTTGCTGTCTATTTTTTTTTTCATCTTTTTATTCCAAGATAAAAGTTCTTCGTCGAGTGAGAGAGGAGAATGAACGGAGAGGAGGCTTCATCCGGATATTCCCTACCCCGTTAACATGGGACCTTTATGGGTAAGAATAAGAATCTAATAGGATGGCTCAGTGTTGCACTGATGCTCTGTATTGAGGGATATTCTGTGTTAGGTATATGTATATCAACCAGCTTAGCAATCAGAAATACACATATTGAGGGTTTTGGTAGAGTTTATTTTAATGTTGAGCATGCTTTTTTCTGATCCCTTGTTTTTAACTGCTGCTTCTTTGCCTAACTGCATCTCATGGAAGGCTATCAAGCATTGTTTCTGATGTTGCTTTTCTGCCAGAATAAAAATGTCTTCACTTCAGATAATCCATTCCTG